GTCTCTGCGGTTAGTAACGACGGTGGCAGGTGGCGGTAGCAGGAGGCCGTTTGAAGTGCGGCTGTCAAGCGTCGGATCCCAAATCAGTCAGGTGCGTTGCCCAAGGATACAGGCGTCCCTGGCGTCAGGTACATCAACCTGGTGTTTCGGAGGCGAAGTGTTGGAGTGAGCGAAGTGTCTTTGAGTTCGGTTTGGGGAGTGTTCGGTTTGGGGAGTATGTAGATGAAATCACATAGGCTTTTCTTAATCACTTCAAAAAGCTCTACTCTAAGGAAAGTGTAAGAAAGTTTACTTTAAGAAGTTGGGACAGGCTGACTCTAGCAAAAGATAAGAGGTCTTGGCTTGAAGGAGATTTGGAGGAGCAAGAAATAAGGGAAGTAGTCTTTGATATAAATGGAGAAAGGGCCCTTGGAACCGATGGTTTTCAAGGATTTCCACTCCTCAACTGTTGTAAACAAAGGAAACAATTCTACCTTTATTTACCTCATCTCTAAGAAAGATGGTGTGTCATGGAAGTGAAAGACTTCACGCCAATAAGTTTAGTAGGGAGTGTGTACAAAATTCTGGCTAAAGAGTAAGCAAAAAGACTTCGAGAAGTCCTAAGAGAGCTGGTTTCTCCAAACTAGTTTGCCTTTGTGAATGGTAGACAAATTGTGGGCAGCATCCAAATAGCAAATGAAATTGTTGAAGTAGGAAGAGTGGTAGGTCAGGTCTCCTTGTTAAACTAGACCTTGAGAAAGCTTATGACAAAGTAGATTGGGATTGCCTTCTCCAAGTTCTGGAACTGAAGGGCTTTGGCACAAAATTGTTGCAGTGGATGAAAGGCTGCAATAGCTCAACCTGGTTCTCATATCTGTTGAATGGAGAGCCCAAAGGTTACTTTAAAGCAAGTAGAGGACTCCAACAGAGCTGCCCTCTCTCCCCTTTCCTCTTCACTTTGGTAATCGATGTTATCCTATTTCTGGAGGCTAATTTGGGAAATATCACTAATGTGAACATTACTTCAAATCAGTCACTGGTTTGAGGGTAAATTACTCAAAACGTAGTCTAGTGACTATAAACTTAGTTGAAGAAACCCTTTTGGAAAGTTTCAGGGTAATTCTAAATTGTCGAGTGGAAAACCTCCCTCTTTCTTATTTGGGGCTGCCTCTTGGTGGGAACCCAAAAAGTCCAAGCTTCTGGAAGCCAATAGTGGAAAATATGAAAAGAAGTTAGCCTCTTGGAAACATTATTATCTATCTAAAGGGGGTAGATTTACTCTTATTAAGGCTTCCCTTGCAAATCTGCTCATCTACTTCCTTTTAGTGTTTCAGATCCCTACCAAGGCCATATTAGATTGAGAAAGTTCAAAGAGACTTCCTATGGGAAAGTAAAGGTGAGAAAACAAGCCATCTAGTAAATTGGATTGAGGTCAGCAAGCCTAAAGAGGTCAGAGGGTTGGGAATCAGACACCTAAAAGAGAAGAACAATTCTCTCCTTGGAAAATGGATGTGGAGAACTGGAGATTCCCTATTGAAACAAATTCTCTTTGGGCAGCTATCATCACCAGTAAATATGGGTTAAACACAAATGGTTGGRACTGCAATCTCCATTCAAACCAATTAGCTTCCTCAAATCCTTGGAAAKGTATCACTTCCACTTACAATAGTTTTTCTTTTCTTTCATAAGAGTTAGAGTGACTAATGGCACTAGAATAAAGTTCTGGACAGACCTGTGGTGGGGCAATTCCACTCTGGCAGATTCTTACCCTAGACTCTTCAATCTCACCCTAAACAAAGAAGAAACCATCTCCTTGTGTCTCCCCACTTCTCCCACTGAAAGAAACATAATTTGAGTCTTAGAAGACCCTTAAGAGATTCAGAAATCAGTGAGCTAATTGACCTCCTCCTCTCTCTCTAAGAAGCCTACATTTCCCCAAAGTCCCTAGATTCTCGTGTTTGGAAACCCCACCCCATTAGAGAGTTCTCTTCCAAGTCTTTCTTTGAGGCTCTTGTTGTAGGAGAACGAGACTGCGTTTTCCCTTTCAAGAAGGTTTGGTGCAAATTCGTTCGGTCAAGTGTGTTTCTTCATTTGGGAGGCCTATCTACACTGAGTAAACACCTGCGAGTTACTGCAAAAGAAGAATCTTGGTAGACTTTATATCCCTCCTCATGTTTGCATCCTCTACTTTGGAGAGGGGGAGTCAGCTGATCACCTTTTCATACATTGCTAAGAAACCAGAAACATTTGGAATTACTTCTAGCAGCTAGCCAGGTACAACTTGGTATCTACAAATCGCCTTCAGGACCTGATTTTTTAGAGGCAAGGAAAAGGTTTAAGTTGGAGAGGTAAGGTATACTAGAAAATAGTGTTGCATGTTGTGCTTTGGGGAATTTGGGAGGAAAGGAATAATAGTCTGTTTGAAAACAAGGCTAAATGCAAGAGTGAGCTGATCTCTCATATCAATTATCACTGCAATTTGTGGGCTTCTATCTCAAATCTGTTCAGAGGCATCAATGTTAATGATCTTTTTTTTTCCTTTTTGATCAATAACTATGAAATGTATTCATTAAAATTAAGAAGAATTACAAAGCAAGGGGGCTAAACAATCTTAGCTCCCTATAATAGTCTGTGAGCATCAAATACAATTACAATAAAGCCCAAAACAAAGAGGTTCTATTAACCCCTTGCCTAGCTAAACCATCTACCAGTGAGTTTGCACTTCTCCTAACCCATTTGCACTGAATTTCAACATCCTTAGCCAACCACTTAATTTTGTGTTTTTCATTGTTGTACTTCCATATCCTTGATTTATCTTCTTTTAACCAGTTCACCACCACTTAAGAATCTCCTTCAATAATCAGCTTTCTAATTTGCATCTCCTTRGCTCTTCGAACCCCTTCAAGGCTGCAAGAATCTCAGTCTTCAAGGAGTCTCCTTCCCTAGTTGGTCCTGAAAACATAGCTAACAGATCTCCATGTTCATCTCTTATTTCTCCCCCTATTCCAGATGGACCTGGATTACCCATATTGCTGCCATCATAATTTAGTTTAAGAAAGCCATTAGATGGGAAACTCCAGCAAGAGGGTAATGCCTTCTTAGCTGAGGCTAACTCTGCAATTTCCTTCCAGTTTTTTACCATCTCATCTATTGAGAAGTCTGCAAACAAGGCCAAAGTTTTCAGCCAATATATCACTCGAATATGGATTACTTCCAATATTACTTTCAAGGTGCTCTCCTTTTCTAAGAATATACGTGAGTTCCTCTCCTCCCAAACAGTCCAGCATACTGCAGCCTTCATACATTTCCACATAGCCTTGCTCTTTTTGTTTGCCGACTAAGCATGAACCTAAATAAACTCTGCACATTTAAAGGGGGCCCACCTGCACCCAAACAAAGAAGTACTCCATTCCCAAATGCTTTTAGTAAATCGACAGGAAATCAGTAAATGGTATTCAGACTCACCATCAGCTTTGCAAAGAGTACACTAATGAGGACACAAACAACTGTTGGGTCTTTTTCTTTGATGTAGATCACATGTATTAAATCTTTCCAGAAAGGCTTCCCAACAGAAACTCCTAACCTTATGGGGTATAGGAAAACACCACACCTCTTTAATAGGGAAAGACAGACCCAAAGAAGGAGGTTGAGCTAGAGCTTTAAAGAAGGAAACACATGTGAAAGAACCAAAGGGGGTGAGAGACCAAATTCTACTGTCTGTCTTTGTAGGCTCTAAAAAAACCCCTTCAAGAATGGATAGCAAGGATAAAAAATAATCAAATTCCATGTCCCTAATTTCTCTTCTAAAGCCCAAGTTCCAGCTGAAC